CAGGCACTGGAGCCTTCGACCTTCAGGTGTCGTTGTCTACCTTGTGTTCCAGCCTGGACCTCTCTGCTCTGAGAGGAGGGTCAGGAGCAGGGGCTGTGCTGACAGGAACATGTGTTTCAGTGCTGTGGCTCCTCACACCTGCTCTTGGTCACACTGAGATGGTTCCTCAGCAGCACCTCGGCTGCCCTGGGCCTTGCAGCGGCTCTTGGGGGTGACCTGCCCCAAACAGAGGCTCCTGAGAACTCTCTGTGGTGCTGCCTCGAAGCCTTTGGCTGCTCCTCCAGAGCCTGTGTCAGTCTGAAGGAGAGCTGGCAGGGAGCTGTGCCAGCTGCTCCACCAGGGAAGTGGCTTTAGGCTCATAACACAAAAATCTTCACTCTTTCGAGGCCATTCAGTCAGAGCACACAGGCTGCAACCTGCTCCTCTACCTCCCTCCCTCCCCACCTCCCTCAGTGCTCTGGGGCTGTGACCTGCACAGGCAGTGCAATTCAGAGTCATAGAAGAGAATCATAGAATTATTTAGGTTTGGAAAGGCCTCCAAGACCATCAAGTCCCCCCTGTGCCCCATCCCCAGCCCAGAGCACGGAGTGCCATGGCCAGGCCTTCCTTGGATACCTCCAGGGGTGGGGACTCCAAACCTCCCTGGGCAGCCCCTGCCAACACCTGACCATCCTTTCCAGGAAGAAATTCTTCCTGATGTCCCACCTCCCCCTCCCCTGGCACAGCCTGAGGCCGTTCCCTCTCCTCCTGTCCCTTGTTCCCTGGGAGCAGAGCCCGACCCCCCCCAGCTCCCCCCTCCTGTCAGGGGGTTGCAGAGCCAGAAGGTCCCCCCTGAGCCTCCTTTTCTCCAGGATGAGCCCCCCCAGCTCCCTCAGCTGCTCCTGCTGCTCCAGCCCCTTCCCCAGCTCCCTTCCCTTCCCTGGACACGCTCCAGCCCCTCAACGACTCTCTTGTAATGAGGGGCCACGACCTGGACATCTTCTTCTGCTCCCTGGTTGTTTTACAGCCCCTAATTCATGGTGATCTAGGATGGAGCTACTGCAAACTCCAGTAATCCTATTCAGAGAAAGAAAAATAAAAGTACCATATATACAGCTGAACCAGCCAAAAGCCTGTGAAAATCTGAAACTTTTCAACTATCAGGTCATATCTTCTCCAATAAATGCTGTAGAACATGCCCTGACAGGTTCAATGTTTACCCATTTTTTACCAGCTTCTTTGAAAAGAACAGAAAGAACCCCTTCCCTTGGCATGGCTTTGAGGTCTGGAGGAGCTTTTTGCTCCTATCAAATCCACCTTCAGCACAGGGATCCTACTCCTCAGCAAGAAACAGCAGCACCTGGGTCAGGGCAGCCTCTGGTATCGATACAGGCTGGGGGATGAAGGGATGGAGAGCAGCTCTGGGGAGAAGGACTTGGGATGCAGGAGGATGAAAAGCTGGACATGCCCCAACTGTGGGCACTGACAGCCCAGAAACCCCCCTGGGCTGATCCCACAACCTGGGCAGCAGGGAGGGGGGGATTCTGCCCCTCTGCCCCCTCAGGTGAGACCCCCCTGCAGAGCTGCCCCAGCCCTGGGAACAACAGCACAGGGACGTGGAGCTGCTGGAGAGAGTCCAGAGGAGGCCCCGGAGATGCTCCAGGGCTGGAGCCCCTCTGCTCTGGAGCCAGGCTGGGAGAGCTGGGGGGGTTCCCCTGGAGCAGAGAAGGCTCCAGGGAGAGCTGAGAGACCCTGGCAGGGCCTAAAGGGGCTCCAGGAGAGCTGGAGAGGGACTGGGGACAAGGGATGGAGGGACAGGACACAGGGAATGGCTTCCCAGTGCCAGAGGGCAGGGCTAGATGGGATGTTGGGAAGAAATTGTTGGCTGTGAGGGAGGTGAGGCCCTGGCCCAGGTTGCCCAGAGAAGCTGTGGCTGCCCCATCCCTGGAAGTGTCCAAGGCCAGGTTGGAGGGGGCTTGGAGCAACCTGGGCTAGTGGGAGGTGTCCCTGCCCATGGCAGGGAGGTGGAACTGGATGAGCTTGAAGATCCTTTCCAACCCAAATCAATGTGTGATTCCATGAGAAAGGATGGATCTGTGGATTGAGATGAACTTCCGTCGGTGCTTCCTGCTGCAGATCTCTCCTGGCTCTGTTCCTCCCCCATCCAAGAGCAAGCACTCTCCAGTGGCTCAGTTCCAGGCTGGTGAGGCAGGTCAGTGGCACGGACAGGTTTTGCCTCCATGGGTTGCCATGAACTCCTCAGGACAGGGCAGGACCCAGCTGGGGTGGGAATGTCCCAGCTCAGCTGCCCAGGGAACGCAGAGCCCGCGGCAGCGCAGGGCGAGGCTGGGCACACACCACAGCTGGGCACACCCCACAGCTGGGCACACACCACAGCTGGGCACACCACAGCTGGGCACACACCACAGCTGGGCACACACCACAACTGGGCACACACCACAGCTGGGCACACACCACAGCTGGGCACACCACAGCTGGGCACACACCACAGCTGGGCACACCACAGCTGGGCACACACCACAGCTGGGCACACACCACAGCTGGGCACACCACAGCTGGGCACACACCACAGCTGGGCACACCACAGCTGGGCACACCACAGCTGGGCACACACCACAGCTGGGCACACACCACAGCTGGGCACACACCACAGCTGGGCACACCACAGCTGGGCACACACCACAGCTGGGCACACCACAACTGGGCACACACCACAGCTCCCCCAGCACTGCCTCCACTGGGCTGCTCTTTCTGCATGTTTTGGGACACCCAATTTACAGGTTAAACAGCAATATATCAACCTGCACACTGACCCAGAAAAACAGGAAGAGAAAATGCTGTGTGTTCCTGAGGTGGCCGAGCAGACTCCTCTGCTGGCACGGCCACATCCCCACTTCCTCTATTAAGACATCGACTTTTCTTGCCTTTTTTTTTTTTTTTTTACAGAAAGGAGACAGAAAGAGAAATTACTCTTGTTTAACAGTGCTGGGATTTAAGTAGTCCTAATTAGTCATGGGCTAGATGTGCATGAGCTGCTTGTTGCCTGTGCTGCTGTTTTTCACTTGGAGATAATTTTCTTCCAGAGTGGATGACAGGGCTGAGCACAGTCACTTTGGAATAGGAAAGAGCAGACTTTTGAAATTGTTTTTAACATGAGGCTTATAGTTTATTGTATCAAAAATCATGAGGGAAACCTGAAAGCCGTAAGGGCTGCTCCATCCTTCCTGTGTGAATATTTCTGTTAAGCTGGATACAACCACAGAACCATGAACGGGTTGGGTTGAAAGGATTTGTAATGACCATCATCTTGTTCCAACGTCCTGCCATGGGCAGGGACACCTTCCACTGGAAATATTGTGAGGAAGATGTTACAGATGGTCCTGGATAGAGGACTCTGCAGAGACAACAGCGAATTTTCCAGAGAGAAGCCTGAAAGCCTCATGTGCTGTCCTTGCCAAAGCCCTTGGGCAAGGAAAATGTTAAGAGTGTCAGGAAGGTGACACTGGGATTAGGGACACTCTGGATGTGCACTCCTGGTGGGTGCCAGTTGTTCCTGGGCAGGGGCAGAGGAGGGGCAGGGACTGAGCTCTGCTCTGGGGGAGCAGGGACAGCCCCAGGGAACGGCTGGAGCTGTGTCAGGGCAGGCTCAGGGTGGATCTCAGGCAAAGGTTCTTCCCCCAGAGGCTGGTTGGGCACTGCCCAGGCTCCCCAGGGCAGTGGGCACAGCCCCAAGGCTGCCAGAGCTCCAGGAGGGTTTGGCTGATCCTCTGGGGCACAGGGGGTGACTCTTGGGGCTGGGCCTGTGCAGGGCTGAGGGTTGGACTCCATGATCCTTGGGGGTCCCTTCCAGCTCAGCACATTCTGGAATTCTGTGATATGCAAACTGCTCAGCTCTCTCCAAAGTCCTGTATTTATACCCCTTCTCCCAGCAAACCTGCAGCTGGAGGATGTAGCCAAAATGGGCTTTAGCCTGGAAACCAGGCTGTGGGGCTTTGCCACCAGGGATGTGCTGGGTGAACCCTCCTTTTGTGAGTGAGTGGCACAGGTTTAGGACAGGGGCCACGTGGCCCCAATAACCTGGCACAGTGTCTCTGCCCACAGGGCTGTGGGGGTGACTGGCAGCCAAAACAGTGCCCAGAATGGCTTAGCAGGGCTTTTATTTTAAGGTTGCCCTGTGCAGTGCCACACAATGATACACAGTCCCACGATAAGGAATGTTAATAATACTCCCCTTTCTGCCAGGAATAGAGTCCCTATCTCCAAACCCCACCACTCTAATCAGCAGAAACAAAGCCCAGTGGATGAAAACAACAAATCCGGGACCTCGGGAATATTCGGATTCAGGAAAGACTAAATATTTAACTTGTGAGGCCAATGCGTCCTGGAATGTATGGGGCACTCCAGGAACAACTCCCCATTGTCCAGGGGCCACAGGGGAAAGTCCTCTTATCCAGGCCATGTCCTGCAGGGCCACCAGGCTGCCCCAGTGACCCCAGTGCTCACCCTGGGGTGGGAGGCTGGGAGATCCTTGCAGAGGTGAGGCTGAGGGTGTTTTCCATGAAGGCTGTCCCAGCAGGAGCAGCTCAGGGCTGTACATGCTCAGGTTGGGGTTGCTGTGTCTTTGATCTCTGCAGGAGGACACTCCCAGATCTCTGCCTGCTCTGTTCTCCAGGTTGCAGTGTTGTTTGCTGGTTGCTACCACAACCATCCCACATTTATGAGCCCCTGGAGAGATCTTTCTGGCCGAGGGAGCATCTCCCAGCTTCTCCCTTCCATAAGGAAAATCCAAAGAAGCCATGCCTGACCCATGCTCAGGGGTGGGCAGTGGGAGCCCTGCTAAGCAGGGAAGCACTTGGGCTCAGTTCCCATGGAAGTCAGCCCAGCTCTGTGCTCACAGAGCCCTGCCCAGCCCTCCCTGTCTGCAGGACCCTGGGCCATTCCTGCCACTTCTGTGACATCACCACACTGGTCTCACTTGCTCTGAGACCTCTGGTCCCTCTCCAGCTCCTGACACCTGAGTCACATCTCCAGCAAAACTAAAACTGAAGATCAGAGGTTTTGCTGCTGAAACCAACTGCCCAGTTCCCGAGTGCTCAGAGCCTGAACTATCCTGGAAACCACTGTTGCCAAAGGTTTGGCTGGGCCCTGAGCAACCTGGGCTGGTGGAAGGTGTCCCTGCCCATGGCAGGGGGTGGAACACAATGAACTTTAAGGCCCCTTCCAACCTAAACCAGTCTGTGATTCCATGACAAAGATGTTAAAGATTCAAGTCAAGGATCTGCTAAAAGGCTCCTGCTGCCCAGGGCTCTGGGAATTCATGTGGAAGGGGAAGAAATGGAAGAAACAACATCCCCTTTCCTGGTGTGTTCATCAGGGACCATCTCTGCACTTGTGTCCAGGACAGGGAAGTAGAGAGGATGAGCCAAGGGCCTGCAGAGAGGGGAAGGTGGAGGCTCTGGGGGAGGGCAGTGCCCATCCCTGTGGAGAGGGACCTGGAAATGCCTTTAGCGGATCCCTGGAGAACCCTCGGAGCAGAGCCCTGCCCTTGGTGCTGGTTCCTGCCTCTTCCCACCTGTTTTCCCTCCGGTGGCCACGTGCCTGACCCCGAGGCCCAATCCCTGTGTGCCAGGATCCTGCAGTCACAATGGAACACACAAAACAAACCCCGAGGGGCTGGGGCACCTTCAAATAAGCATCAAACCAGGGCTCAGACTCCCAGACACAGTTCAGGCTCAGGTAACCCAAGTGTGCCCTTGGTAACCCTGGGGGCACAGGCAGAAGCCCCTGGTTATGTGTCTGTGTGAGCCTGACCCTGGAGATCCAAGGAATTCATCCACACAAGTGACACGCAGGCACTTCCAGGGCAAATCTCACCCAGTCCTGTCCATGACAGTCCAGTGTGGACAGTGTGAAAAGAAAACCCGGGGAAAACAGCAAAACAATAAGACACTTCGTTTTTCACTAGTTTAATAAATATACATTTTTTTCTTTACAAGAAAAGCAGCTCCTGTTAGTGAGGAGAGTGAATTTTGCCTGCTTTGCAAAAGTTCATCCATTGTTCAAAGCAAACTCTCCTGTCCAACATAAACAGGGACTCTTAAAAACATTCTCATCCAAAACAATTGCCACGAGTTTGGATGTTTTCATGGTCCTCACTCTCCCCTACTGTTTGATCATTATGTTTTACAATATTTTTTCCCCTTCCTCACAGGCTCTGTTCCAGGTGCCCCTGCTCTGGAATTCGTGGCTTCATCACCCAAACTTCTGCATTGAGTGAGATACAATGGAAAGAATGTCGTGGCATTGACTGTGGCTGCCCAGCCCCTCTGGGCTGTTTGCAGCCCCTGGGCAGAGGTCACAGCTGGGCCTGTGGCCAGGCTGAAGGAGCTCAGCTCCACAGGATCGTCTCCTTCCTTTCTAGGAATCCCCTTCAGAGTTCTCCTGCAGGTCACCTCTCCCTTGGCACTCAGTGATGAGCACTTGGCTGTAATTCCTATGAAGGAACCTTCGGGATCTGGCTGAGGCTGTGCCGTGCTGGATCCTGCACTCAGAAATGATCTGTGCTCCCAGAACTGACTCTGGCAGTGTGGGAGGCACATGAGGACACAGAGGGAACACGAAGAGAGAAGGGGGAATGATCTTTGGCCAGCTGTGGAGCTCAACTCTGCCTGCAGAGGAGCAGCCAGGCTCAGTCCTGCCCCCAGCTCTGGCAGGTGTGCAGCTTGTTCCTAAACAGGCTTGAGAGGCTGGGGCTGAAAGGAGAAAATCCCCACCAGAAAACCAGCCCAGAGCAGAACAGGCAGTTCCTTGTAATCCCAAATCCCCCCTCTTCCCTTTCCAAGGGTGTGTAACCAGGAGCAGAAGCAGCTCATCTGTTCAAAGAGAATCAGGCTCCTTGGGACCTCTGACATCTGGGGATGCTTGGAATGTTTGTTTTTCACTCCTATCATTGCAATTTTTAAGCAATACAAGACTGGGCTGCCCCTAAGTTACATGGTTTAGAGTAGTCATAGAATCATGGAATGGTCTGGATTGGAAGGGACCTCAAAGCCCATCTAGTTCCACCCCCTGCCATGGGCAGGGACACCTCCCACTAGCCCAGGTTGCTCCAACCTGGCCTTGGACACTTCCAGAGATCCAGGGGCAGCCACAGCTTCTCTGGGCAACCTGTGCCAGGGCCTCCCCACCCTCACAGGAACAGCTTCCTCTGTATATCTGACCTAAGTTTCCCCTCTTCCAGTCAAAGCCTTGCATTTGAACACTTCCATAAACTTGGAGCATTCCAGTGGCTGAAGGTCCAATCCAGTACCATGCAGAAAACTCACCTGTGGCTGCTTCCTCTCTTTACTAAATCAGAGAATGAACAGACCAAAGACTTTAAAAAATTCTGGAACACATAAAGTATAACTTATGCAATAAAATAAAAAAAAATAATCAAGCTAGACCGTCCTCTTGGGAGTTTTTTCTAAATATATCACTCGAAACTAAACTCTGCCTAAAATGAACACACGTGAGGAGTCCCAGAAGTGCACAGGTGTTGGATGCACATCCACAAATGGGCTCAGGCTGGTTCTTATCCCCAGTATTGGCTCTGAGGAATGGACAATGCAGTGGTTTTGCTGCATAAAGTACTCGATACAGCAGCAGCAACCAACTCCCAGCTGGCAGAGCTCAGTCAGAGGCAGCATTTCCACTCTCAGGGTAATGCTGGTGACAAAAACACCCTTGGCTGGAGTGTCCCATCCTGTCCCACACAAGTGAAGATGTTCTCTCCCTGTAATTTCCACTCCACATGGATACACAGTAGGATGTCACCATGGCAGGGTGACCAGAACTGATATCAGGGGCTCTCAATGCTCTCAGTGGGACTCCCAACTACTTTTGTCCCATTTTGGTGGTGCTCAGAGGGGTGGCACAGAGTGACATCAATGCACTCAATGCACTTGTCCAGCTCTGCTCTGGGCAGAAATTAAATTATTTAAACCCAGCTTCCCTTTTCCAATTTAACTCTTCAGCATGCAGCAATTTCAAAAAAAAAAAAAAAAAAAAAGGAAAGAAAAAGAAGAAATGCAGCATTTCTGTTAAAAAAAAAAAAAAAAAAAAAAAAGGAAAGAAAAAGAAGAAATGCAGCATTTCTGTTAATTGGAACAAAACAGAGCAGTCCTGTAGGGCCCTCCCTTAATTCACTCCCTGAACAATGTTCACTGATCAGGACTAGAGATTCAATTAAGTACCTTGGGGTGGTAATTCATAAAGGCAGAATAAGGAGTTTGCAGACAATTTGTCTTTCCTTCTCTCCCAGAACGCTCCCGCTGAGCGACAGGGGCTCTGCCTGTAATTGGCAACATTAATACAATTAAGATGCTAATTTTGCCCTGGTTTGCTTCTGTATTCCAGAGGCTCTCACTTCACATCCCTCAACACATTTGACTCTGCTAAATTCCATCATTATTTCTTTCCTCTGGGCTAAGAGAGAAGCCAGAGCCTTCAGACAGGGCAGCTCCCCCAGAGCCAAGGGCTTGTGCTGCTGCTGCCTGAGAAATGGTCGAGGATAAGAAGATGTTGGGTCCAGGAGGAGCTGATTGTTTATTTGGATTAAACCAGGGCATTAATGAAGGTCCCAGGAAAGCACTGGGCACGTGGCAGTAATTAGGAGGAAAAGAGAAAAATAATTACAATCTACAAACACCCCCACACCTCCTCCTGCCTGCCAAGCCCCCCCAGCCCTCCAGCAAGGCAATCCCTGCAGATCCCACCTCTGCCCTTCCCACGGAGCAGCCCCAGGATCTCCTGCCCCCATGGCTCAGCTCTTCTCCCTGCTGGTGGGAGGAGGGGCTGGGGGTGCAGGGGCACAGGATGGTCCCCCAGGGAGGGCTGGAGGATGAAAGGATGAGCTGGGGGTGCAGGGGCACAGGATGGTCCCCCAGGGAGGGCTGGAGGATGAAAGGATGGGCTGTCCCTGCCAGCTCAGATAACAGCAGAGCACTGGCTGTGGGAGTCAGGACAAGGTGAGTCTGTGGTCTAAAGGAGAAATGAGATGCAGACAAGGGACAACCGTGGACAGGGAGACCATGGAGTGACGGGAGTGGAGCCACAGCGGGATTGTCCCCTGGCAGTGAGGCCTTACAGGTCCTTACAGGTACCTCACAGGTCCCTCTCCTCATCCCAGCCAATGGGCTGCAGCCAGGAGTGCTCCCTGGGTTGGGCCAACTCCCAACCATGCCCAGGAGGGGTTTGGAGAGCCCTCATTGCTCCAGGGTGCACTGGCCAAATGGCTCTGATAAACTGATCACCCCAATAAATCCTGTCTCAGCAGGCAGGATGATCCCAGCTCTCCTGGATTCCACGGCACAGGTAAGGAGTGCTGGGGTGGGGAGCAGAGGATGAGGCTCTTCAGATGGGAAACTTCTCCTCTGACTTGTGGGTCTGTTTGGGGGCTGCCCAGAGTCAGAGGAACCAACAAAGGAATTATTCTTCTGAAAAATCCAAGGAGGCATGATTTGTATTCAGTCTCTCCTGGACCTGATTTCCCCCTCCCACTGCAGAGAACAACCTGGATGAGAGCACGGGAAGGTTTGAACACTACCCACTCGTGGCATGAGCAAAACACGCTGCCCTGCCCTGGGCTGTGCCTTCCCCAAACTCCTCCTTTGTCAGAGGAAGCCGTTGAATTTGCTTTTCCTCCTGCCTGGTTAGAACGGGGATTTTCTGGAAGCCAAACAAAGGCAATGGAGATTGTCTGGGGAGATAAAGAGGGAACAGTCTGAACAAGCAGGAAGCTGAGGGGGAACGGGGCTAAAACGTGGCAAGTAAACAAAGTCATTTCTATCTCCTGCCTTGCAGAGGAGGAGGAAGAGCTCCAGGGGCCATGGAGGTCCTTGTCCATGGACAGTGCTTTGGGAACTGGGGAGGCTCTCCACAAGATCTGGGAGGAGAAGTTTTGACCCAAAGCCTCCAGATTTGGTTCCCCCTCCCAGCCAGTCACTGCTGAAATCCAATGGCAGGAAATTCCTGCAGCCTTCCCCCAGATGGAGAGGCAGGGCAGGGTTTGCCCGAGGTCCCACACTCCTTGTGTCCTGAGCTGGGGTCCTCCCCTGGGGCTGCCCCCTGCTCCCAGCCCTGCCAGCTGAGCTGCAGGAAGGAACAGGATTTCATCTCTTCCTCGGAGCTCTGAATGGTGGAGCAGCACCAGGATGGCTGAGGGCAACCCCTGGGCTGAGGGGCCTTGGCATTAGAAGAGACAAATAACAGCTCCTGGAGCGAGGTGTCCTGGAGCAGGGCTGGAGCCACCACCCTGGCACGTGCCTGGCCTCGACAGGGATCTGGCTGCTGGGCTGGAAAATGGGTCTGCTCTGTCCTCCCACACGTGGAAATGCTTTCACAGGGGTGCTGAGCTCGTGCTCCCAAAGATCATGAGCAGAGAAGGTGAGGGAGGGGTGGGCTGGGCAGGGCCCTGGGGCTCGACAGCTCTGCTGAGGTTGGATGGGGTGGGCTCTGCTGCCTCCCTCTCACACAGCCAGAGATCCACCAGCAGTTCCCAAATCATTAACAACCCAGTGTATCCCAGGATAAGTGACATAAACTTTCCTGAGGATCTGGAGCCACAGCATGGCTATAACTCACCTGGAACAAGAAATACCTGCACATTTGTGTCCAGACACAGGACTGTGGGTGACCTGCTCCCAGCACATCCCCAGTGCCACAGCACCAGCTACTGCCCTGGGTGTGGCTTTCTCCTCCATGGTGAGGTCAGGCTGAAGATTTAGACATAATTCCTGATCTCCTGGGTCCTCCAACTGCCCCGAGGTCCTTCCTGCTCCCTGGGCAATGTCTGAGCTTAAATCTAAGCGTTTTTCCAAAATTCTACCTCCAAACCCCAAACTGTCAGTTCAAGACACGAAGTTCCTCCCTGCTCCAGGTTGGTCCCGTTCCCAGTCCCACCCCTCTGGGTCTCGTTCCCCTCGTGCCTGATGGATTGCAGAGTGTTTCCTGAGCAAACGCTCCTCAGGTCCATGGGCACTGACCCAGCCCTGCCATCCCCTCTGGTGGGTCCCCACACAGCTCCCCCAGCTCTCACAGAGTCTGCTCTGACCTGAGCACTGGGCACAGGACTCCAGCCCAGCTGTGGCACAGGGACAGACTTTGGTGTCTCTGTTCCCTGCTCACACAGCCCCAGGTACTTGTCCAGTGTGAGGAGCTCAGACCCCAAGGGTTTCTCAGCCTCTGCCCCAGCACAGTTCCCCTCCTGGAGGACAGTCCTGTGGGGAGGACCCTGTCTTTGGTTTCCTCCTCTCCAGTGGAAGATTTCACTCAGCCCACCCTGCCCCAGCTCCCAGCAGTGGGGAGGGACAGCAGGGGCTGGAAGCAGCAGGGAAGAGGCCTCAGCAATTCCCACTGCTGGGATTCCCCAGCAGGATCTGCTCCTGAGGCACTTGAGGGGTTTCCAGGCCCAGCTGCAAACGAGCTGTTCCATGAATGTTCTGGCAGTAAAACACTCTCAGGAACCAGGACACTGCAAGGATGCTGCTGAGCTGGCTCATGTTTGACTTCACCTGGTGAAGATTCCTGCACGAGCAAAGCCATGTGTGGGGGCTGTCCCAGGGCATTGCTGGAGTCACCATGGAGCAGCCTCAGCCCCTGGAACCCCCAGGAAAAATTGTCATGTTAATCCTCACCTGGCCACAGGTACCTGTCTCCAGTCCTGCACCCAGGCCAGGAAATGAGATCTTAGAGATAACACTTTTGACCAATGCAGTCACATGGAGCAGGTGGGGAGGCCTTTTCCACAGACAGGGAGTCTGGACTCACAGGCACTGTCCCATTTCCCAAAGAACGTGTCAGCCAAGTGCAGCAGAGGGAGTTCAAACAGGAATGTCTGCTCTAGCTGGGAGTCAACTGGTCAGGCACTTGTATAAGATGATTATTGTACCTCCTTTCTAAGAGAAAGAGTTCTCTTCCCCTTCCTTTCCCTTTCCCTTTCCCTTTCCCTTTCCCTTTCCCTTTCCCTTTCCCTTTCCCTTTCCCTTTCCCTTTCCCTTTCCCTTTCCCTTTCCCTTTCCCCTTCTCCTTTCCCTTCCCCTTCTACATTCCCCTTCCTCCTTCCCCTCCCCTCTTCCCAAACCTTCCCATGTTGGGGGAGGAAGCAAAGAGATATGGAGACAGTTTGTCCCCACCCTGGAACAGCAAAAATCCCAGAGGGGAGTTGCAGAAGAGTGTAATCCTTGCCTGGAGGAGTCAGCTTCCCCCTGGCACAGAGCAGGGGGAAACCAGCTCAGAGCAAAGCTCAGGAGTTGGTACAAGCTGCTGTAGAACTGTGGGCGTAAATGAAGAAACAGGGTTACCCATCCTTGCTTTTTCTTCATGACATTTTGTGCCTTTGGGTGCCTCGAGTCAAAAATGCTGAATAAAAATGGAAGCAAGGACACAGAATT